GTATGATGCTAAGGACTATGAACACTACCCTGTGGAAATAGGAGGTATAGTCACTGTTTTTGGATGCTGTGGCAGTGGAAGCTCCACCTACCTGCCTTCACTTTTGTTCTTGTGTCCTTGTTTTCAATTTTTTCAGACACCCATTAGGGATTTCAATTACTGATCCCAGACATTATTTTTAGACTGTAATGATACTCTTTGACTAGGGTATAAAGTAACACCACATATGGCTTTAAAAAACAAGTGCCTGCTTCTTAAGCACTCTTTTATTGTGGACCATTGCCTGGACTATAGCTATCCTTGGCTTCCTTCTCCAGCCCTTGAGCCCCTGATGCAGTGAGGACTGGAGTCCGAAGCTATCCTCACTCTGACCCACTGTGACAGCAGAGGAACAGCCTGTCTGTTTCTGTCTCTCCCTTCCCAGATGCTGTAAATGAACAGCAAAAAAAAAAAAAAAAAACAAAACAAAAACAAAAAACCATAAACTATCAGTGCTAGGGAGAAAATGAGCAAAGTGTTAGGCAGTTGCAAAGTGAGAGACTGCTGGGTTCTCTAATTTATGCAGCCTGGTAGCAAAGCAGACTTGCAGATTGGGCAAATGATTGCTGCTAGATACTTAGTCTGTTTTTTGGTTAACAAGAAGGAACAAAGGAAAAACAACTCTCAGACAACAGAGCTTTTCACATAACACGTTCGCATGGTTCAATATGACAACATCCAAATCTAGAGATTCAGGACTTGTATCTGGCAGCCTCCCTGGACAGGCATGATGGCGAGAGGCACTTGTGAAGGGGACCCCTCTATTAAGTTGAATATGCTGATACATGATAGTTATTCTGACATTAGCAATTATTTGTTGGGTATGACTCTGTAAACTATGAGGTGCTATGGAATCAGAAGACAGTCTTGTGAGGTACACTCCAGAGAGAAGGCCTTAACTCCATCTTCCTCCGGATACTTCCCAAGTCTGTTTAAATAACACCTTGCTTAATGTTATAGGCCACCTAAATAATTGTGGCAATTTTTCTATAGCAATATGTTAACTACATAATTTGATTACATTCAGTGATGAATATCAGTACTAACTTAGGCTGTCACTCTCTTTTCATTTCACTTTAACAATCTTCATTACTCAGAAGTTTAGCTGAGCTGACTAAACTATAACTTTAAATGAACAATCTTTTATTTGTAAAGATCGAGTCATAAATAGGCAGAATCAACCCATGCTTTTATTTTCATTGCATATAAAAATTTCATATGAAGGTATTGATGTACAGTACTATCCCCATGGGCTGTAAGAGAGGCTAAGAAACCACTAAAAGAATTGTCATTTGTAATACTCACACACAATTTACCACTCTGAAAACATATCCAAAGAAAGAAAACCAAGAACTAAAATCAGTAAGGATGTTTCTCATAATTATAGTGTCCCCTTTGTACTGTTGAAAACAAAAGTAATCAAATTACTTTGGCCCAGGGCTGCTAAAATCTACAGTTTGTGTCAAAAAAATAAAACAAAATAATAGGAGGTTCATTTTTCCTAGAAAAAGAATCTCTCCTTTCACTAAGTCACATGTTCCAAGGGCTGGGCAGCTGAGGCAGGTTTCCACATCATTTGACAGTGATTTTTCATAGTTTTTGGGAGCTGGCCATCATGCAAAGTTTAATTTTCAAATTCTAAAGTAATATAGTAAGTTTTATAAGCACAAATTCTAGAAAACAGTGAGTACTTTATGCTGTGTGAATTGGTGCTGTTTAAAACTTCTGTGTTTAAATGTGTGAATTTACATACACAAGGAAATTTAGTTGAAGATTCCAGGGTTAAAATAATTACATATTTCATTTTATATATTCTCTTAACATGACTATTAACTGAGGAAGAAATGATGAACCAAAACATGGGAACTATGGTGTTAATCTCAAATCAAGTTCATTGTCCATGTGGTCTAGAAGCCAGAGAGTTTTTATATTCACTGGACAAAAATATATCTTCCTAGTAGTACTTCAAAGTTAGAACAATCAAATGTAACTAACTGAGGGAGCTCTTGAGCAACATATAGGGGAGTCACCTTCATATATGCAGTGCTGCTGCATAGCAAGAAGTACTTGAAAGCTTGTCTCTCAAAAGGGTCTCAGAATGTGCCACAAATTGTGGTTTTGTAAAATCCAGCTACTGCACACAATCAATCAAAGCTTGGATGTAAAATGCCCAGCCCTAGCCCTCACCATTACCTTACTTTCAAATGCAGCAAAAAGGAAGAAAATATTAAAGTTAAGGCACAGCCCTGGGACCAAAGACCTGCAGCTATGTTTTTTAAATTTATATATCTTTATGTATTTTATAGTTTTCTTGAATCTTCCATAAACAAGCTCTAAGGTGACAAGACTATATTACAGGAGAAAAGAAAATGTACAAGGAGTATGTATACACACCATTCATTCTCTCACCAAGAGTTTCCAAATATATCAACACCATCCCATCATGGGATGATGTTTTAATATGAACTGATAATTTACAATTAACATTACAGTATGTACATTACAATAAATACATGGTTGTAAACAGACAAACAAGACTGTATTACAGGTAAGGTCATTTGGTGAGAAAAAAAAATGCATGGCACAAAAAATAAATAATGCATTCAAAAATTATCATAAAGCTTTCTGTAAAATCCATTTCATTCAAGTTTTTTTTTTTCCTTGTCTGCAATTTGTTCTATCTACATTATTTTCTTGTGAATTTATAGTGATGTAAAAGAAAATAGAAGTAAAACAGCATGAATTTGTTTAGTAACTTGCAAGCTGAAATGTACTGGTTTTATACAAACTTGGACATTTTTTCCTTATACAGTACCCAGATATTGCATTTTCTCATGGCATTTTAGGACATGTAAAGCCATTTATAAGAGGATGGTCTTTTAAAATAAATTCTGAAGCACACTTTGGCAAGAGGAGAAAGAAGGGAGAGGATAAGCAGATTGTACAGTGCATTAGTCCCTGTCTCTTGGATAGTATGCCTTTTCTACCATTTGATTGTCCACTGGTGGGTATCTTCACAAGTGACCATTAGAAACAAACAAAATTGGGGGGAAAAGCCTCTCTTTTTTCAGTGCAGTTATAAACTCTTTTTAGGTCTGCATTTGCAACATATTGCTGTTTGTAATTTTTCCCTCATTATTAAGATTCTAGGCACTCTTTGGGGAAAATACCAAGTGTTAGAGAGGGGAGAGAATGAGAGTATTTTGGTCAAAGGAATAAACCCCACCCCTCATCTTTTCTTCTAGACTTCCATCATGAACGTATAAAATTAAGACAGAGACAAGTTTCCAAGTGTTCTTGTGAAACCAGTTGGGCCAAACAAAGGACTACATTTAAATGATGACTGATTTTTACAGGAGGTAGGTGTAGGTGGAAACTTAATATTTAGTTGATTCCTATTATGGTCTATGTAAAAGATCAGAGATAATTATTTTTTACATCAAAGATTTTAAGGAATTGAGAGGATTGAAATAGGGATTATCTTCAGTGTGGGTCACTGATAGTAATTTAGTTATTAGACCCCAAAAGGCTTCTTGAGATATCCCAGATATATTTTTTTCAGGATTACAATTTTTCTTAACTGTTGTATTTATTTTCCATTTGGTCACATACCCACTGTTGGTTTCTATTTTAATTCATGGATAGTCACATAAAAATGATCACTTGTGCTCTGAACTCTTCACAGAGAAGGGAAACATTTTATTAAGAGCTGAAACGGGAAGAAAGTTCAAGTTAAATAAATGTCCCCAAAATGCCAATTGAAGGTAAATACTGGGAATTAATCTCTAAAAGGGTAATATAGTTCCTGGTGCTAAATTCAGCCAAGAGTGATCTATAATTTTTTATTCAGGCAGAATGTTCCTTCCCATTATTTTAGAGTTTAGCATTACCTTACCAGACTTCTGATGCTGCCAGAGGCATCATCAACTCCTCTACCTCAGTGTAGTTAAAGGAGTGCTCTACACATATGCCTATGGAGGAATGAAAACTGGTAATTCAATCCCTGCTTGTGAGGTGGCTTCCACAAAGAATAGTTGCTACACTTAAAATCACTTCTCAAGAATATCCGTTATATAATTCTTAATCCCATGGTGAAATCATGAAAACAAAAGGGAATTAGTTATATTGGTGTTGAGTAATATATTTTGCTAATATTGTTAAAAAATTACCTAGCTAGCTAGCTGTTAACTTTTCCTTGTAAAATCAAGAGAAAAAGCTAGTTATTATGTATAACTCATGGTAAAAAATGTATGGTAACGAATTTAACTGTTTCTTTTTATCAGTCAGAATGGTGGTGATATATTTGATAAGATCCCATCTAGCGAATGTGGACAGAGGTTCAAACACGCTAAATAAAAAAGCAGCACAAGGGGAAACAAGTTGTTCTTACTTTAACTGGCTGTGAAAACAATAAAAATGAGCATGAAATGTGTGGGTTATTACAAAGACATGCACTTGTGAAATGAGGGTCCACTGACACAGCAAAAAGTTATCAGAAGACACTAAGTAGGAAAACATCTAAAAAAGACTGACCATTTTAGCTACTGGGTATTTATATATCTCTCACTTGCTTCAGACAACACCAACTGATGATTAAGTGTCTATGAGGCTTAAGACACATAAGACAAAACGCGCATCAAAGTATCACTGAACAAATATTCACTTTGCACACTGTGAAGAAAAATGTCAGTGTAGAGTAACTCTGCTTACCTGAAAAGGGTGGAACAAAAAGCAAAGTAAACGAAGACCTACAAGTAGGGTTTCCTGCAACATATTTTTTTTTTTTAAATATGGAAGTCATTGGTATATAAAACAATGAATTACTACAAATCAGTTAATTGCTATGAACTATAAGGTGCAAGTAAAATTTGTAAATTAGATTTATCCAGTGTAGCACAGATTTGTACTGAAAACTTGCAAGTTACTCCTTAGAAAAAAATAACCAGTGGCAGATGAAGTTCTGAACATAGGTTTTTAAATATAATACCTCAGTACATTTAATAATAAAAGTAAGCTCTACAAAAAATCTGTTTTACATATCATACAAAATGTAGAGGTCAGTGCAGCTCACTGAACCACACTATTCAGTCATGTATCAGGAAGACTTGAAATTAGAAAATGATGCAATTTCTGTGGCTCATCCTCTGCCTATGGTAACAGATTCGCTCTGTGTCCTGTTCCTGACCCATTGTGTCATTTCATTCATTAGTTCACGGTGTCTATGTAATGCCTTCTTTCTGCTGAAAATATTGCAAACAAATAAAAAGGTATCCCAAATCACATCAACTTTTTGGGCTGCCTGATGAGCCACACTCCCTTGAAAATACTTTGGAGTTGATTTTCTCTGCTTCATCAGCTCAACCAAGCTGAAATCTTGTTAAAATGCTGTGCGTAAAGATGTCCTCTTTGCTCCGATGTCATGGAGGTGAAAAACTGGTTACGATATTCCTGAGCGCCAGACTGAGTAGTCAAGGTCAGTTTTGTTCAACAAACGTCCTGGCAGATGACAGTGAGGTGTGACCATGGTTGTGGCATGTGACATGCACTTTGGAAACAATTTTCTACTTAAAAAAAAAAAAAAGAGAGCGCGTGAATGTCTTTGCACTGTTACGTGTCAGGAGAACAATCTTCTATCACACAGGCTTCTGGCTGGCTTTCCTCCTCTTCTCCCACCGCCTCCTCTTCCACCTGTTCATCAAGTGGAATTTCTGTGGACTCCGAGTCTTGAGTACAGAGAGTCTTGGAGTCACTGCAGCTTGTGTCTTCTTCCACCTGACTTCCACTGTCCTTTTCCGTGTCTGACTCGCCATCTTCCTCTAAAGTTAGTTCAAACTGGAACTTTTCGGTTTGACCCTGCCGGCCCTCCTCCTGGTCATCAGGCGCTGGGGAGGGGCTCTGAGGAATTGTGCTCTGGTACCATTCACGATTGTCCTCCAAAGTGTCCAAAATGTCCTGGGCGTCAGGATGTACAAGGTCTGCCCATGTCTCCCAAAGAGGGTGAACAATATAGTCTATGAAGCCCACCTGGTAGAAAAAACACCCAATTTGAGTACAGGACTTGGGAGTTAAAATGATGGTGACATTAACTAGATCTCACACATACATCTAATTTGAATGTGGAGTTGACATGAACGTACATATGTAATATATTTAACTTATATAAAAATATATAAACTATAATATGAAGGCATAACATTTCACAGAAAACGACTAATGTTAGTTTGGGAAAATAGTTACTATGTAATAGATGATACAAAAAGTATTGTTACTAGCTGGTGAAAACTAGCTTCTAAAACTCCTAGTTCAACAGTATGTTTATCATGTTAAAAACTCTCCAGTGTTTATAAGGTAGAGTTTGGCTTGAAACCTGGGCTTTATTTTAGAATAGCCAATTAGTTCAGTGAATCCAGATGCTATATGGTCAATAAGAATTTATACAACTGATTTCAGATACATGAAAATAATCTATGCACATGAATATAGTCATAATTAATGAATATATCATAATGCATGTATGATTGAAGAGGTTTTCTTGGTTTATGAACACTAATGTGAAATGGAGCTTGTCAAACACAAAGTTATTTCAAGACACAACAAAATACCATGTGATGTGTATGCTAAGTAATGTAATGTTGAAGATGTACTTTTAGTCTCTCTGGGAGCTTTGTGGCTGTGCCTCACCTGTGATTTTTCTACAGAGGCATTGTGCTTGTCACACATGGGACTTATCTCCATGCCCCGCTCCCTCTCTCGATCTCCTTGGCGGAAGAACTCCTCCATGATGCGGTCGGTCCACTGGCGGTACAGCTGGAGAGGCTTTGTGGGGTTGCTCAGGTCTGCACAATGCACCATGTTCTGAAGGACCTAAAACAGACAAACACTTTCTCTACTCAGACCTGTTCGCTCTCTCTTTTTTTTTTTTTTTTTACTAGAAATTCACATCGGATGACTGTGACCCTTAAAAATACATGTAGTGCAAGATTCATTCCAAACAGCTCAACCATGTGTCTTGTGTGTGGTTCACACTTAGTATTAATAGTCCCGAATTATGCCACCTCTACCACATCTAAATATCATAAGAGAAACTGTTTATGTGCATGGTTGATGAAATTCAGAGCTGCTTCAAGTGGCTGGTGTGGGATATTAGGGCTTTTTAATTTATTTTTTTTTAAAGATTTATTTTTATTTATTTATACAAGCACTGGGTACAGTCAGAAGTGCGGGAGGGTGAGAGAATTCACCAGAGCCAGAGCGGGGAGCAGAGCAGGCAGACTGAAGTACACTGCTGAGGGGAGCAGCGGGCGGCAGGAGAGGTCTGCGCACCATGTGGGACCCTCCTCCGGTGGCCAGGGAGCAGCCGGGGATCGAACCTGCGCCGCAGAGGCCGCGGGCAGCTTCGCAACCCAGCGCTCAACCGCTGCGCCAACAGGGAGGCCCTAATTTATTTTTTAAACACATATGCAAATGGAAAAGTCAACAGGATTGTATCTGGCTAAATTTTAAGATTAAGACTTTGGATAAAATCCTTGCTTACAAATACTAAAATTTTAAGGTGGGAAAAAGGAGACACAACTCTTATCCAAACTAGACATGCAGGCACACATGTGTACATACACACACACACACAGAGCAAATTTGAGTTATGCTTTACCTGAATCCTATCAGAATAATTATCGAGAAGAAGAACTCCAGAACTTGTCACTTTCTTAGTTTCAACCATAGTTTTCAAATCAGCCAGTAGATTCATATGTTTTGACATATCAGTTGCAAGTACCTTAAAACACAAATATCAAGTAAAATGATGCATAATTTGCATGTGAGAATACTAAACAGAGTACATGAAGAGATGGGACACAATGCTGTCATCTAACAGCAGTGAATGCACACTCTTTACTGCTTCCTGGGGCAGAACCTTGCCCTGTGCTGTGAACTTTTCTAGAAGCCCAGATAAAAGCCACATTTTTTCACCACTTTCATGGTGAAAAAAGGGAGGTTGCCTTCATGGATAAGACATTATGCAGTTTTTGAAGTTTTGTCCGTTTCTTGACCCAGAAAGTGATTACTGTACCATGATGAAGTGATTCAAGGATGCTCACAGAAAAATTCAGAAACAAAATATTTTGTTAATTTTTGTGTATTTAAAACAGATAATTGCTCTTTATGCATACAAAGTTTCACATAACTAAGTTTGTGATAACCAGAGATTATCCTGTGTCTCTTAATCACTGTGAATAATATGCATGGAGAAAAGGGTAAGGTGACAGATCTTTCTTTAAATGGTACTGCCTACTGCCGAAGTTTTTTTTTTTTTCCCTTCCATTTTTCAAAAGGAAAAAAATCACCATATAGCCATCTGCTACTGTTAGTCACCTTTCTGTCTGCCACCAGACCAGAGGAGTTCAGAAAATAACCTAGAATGATGAGTGTCAACTGTCATTATTCTTAGTTCCAAACTGCTAGAAGTAAAAAATGTTTCACAGATCATCACTGCCAGCACCAGGGAGGTCACTTCTTGAACATCAAGAGCGACAATGGGTTCTGAAATGCCATTCCTTTTGCTGGATACTAATCTCATGTTTTAAAACTTGTATCATGGTTCTCCTTTTTTGCTTTTATCAGCTACTTACGATGTCAATGACCATTTTCCTTAATGATTGTCTTTGCTTTTTGGTCAAATTCTGGAAAATGTCACAGTTTTCTTCCTGAAGCAACTTAAAGCCCACAGCCAAGTGATGGTTCTCCAAGACAGAAGAGTCATTGTACATCAAGGCAAGTTCAGAGTCTTAAAAAAAAGTCAAGAGATACAAGATTAGTAATGTTACTTATTCTAAATTTATCATATTCTTCATATTTTGAGCTACTTTGAATTTAAAATGAGATTTTTTCCTAAATATCTCTGCTGGCCTTACATGAGGGCACCTAGGAAAATGTACTAGCTAATGTGACACTGGGATCTTGAAAATGAATTCTAATGCCATCAATATGGCATGTAGCAAGTTGTTCCACCGTGGGGGCCTCAGTTTTCTTTAACCTCTCATAGTAGCTCCATAAGCTCAGTGGAATATGGCATTAATCTTATCATTTTTCAGGTAAGGTATTATATTATCTGAAAACTGTGGACTACCTCCCCAACACTTTATTTAATGTAAGGATCAAGTAACTTAAGATTGCTGTTTTCAGAGAATGTACATGAACACTTTGGAAAACACAAAATATTATTAGAACTGTCAATGATGCTTTTATATTGCCTACCTTTGAAAGGTGAGAGGCTTTATTTATTTTCCTGTTTCCTTTTCCAAGTAGCATAACAGTCAGTATAAATGTACATCATCCTTCCCACCTGCATGAAGGTGGCTTCACAGAGATGGATGTTCAGCTGCCCAAAGAACTCCCTGGTGAAGATTTTATACCTCTCCAATGACTGCCCTGCACCTTTGTGTTTTAGGGTTGGGCAAGAGACCCTACATACCCCTTTTCTAGTTCCTGTAAATAGCAGACCCAGATCTGTAAGGTAAGTTATGAAAAAAAAAAACAAAACAAAAACAAAACAAAAACAAAACAAAAGAAAAACCTAACTGGTGTATTCTGTTTCCACTTAAGTCATTGTAAAGACTGAAATCATGTAGTTGATGTTTTCTTCTGACTAATACATGGAAAATATATGTGGAAATATACATTTTTTTCTAAGAAAGAAATACCCAGTACTACTCCAAAACTGTTTTAAAGGAGCTTGGGAGAAGAGAAGTTTAAAACATTTCTATTGTGAAACCCTAAGATTTTATCTGGGCGTAACAGAATTCACTACAGTGTTCCTGCCATATATACAAATGGAAACATAAATTTAAATTTTTGCTCCCAACTTATAGGTACAGATGTCTAAGGAACCAGGGAGTAAGTATATAAGGTGTTAGTCTTTTTATTGATATAGCAAAGGTGGGATTGGTTTATTTATTTATCTTTGAATAAAAAATAGTTTGTTCAAAAGAAAAAAAGCTGTCTGGATAAAGCAATACTTTTTAAAAGGCAGTATCTGGTCAACTCTGACTTTTATGTAGGTCTATAAAACCCTAAGCTATGAATACTTACCTATAGATATTAAACACTTTTAATGTATTTTCTATTTATGTATATATATTTTTTATTGAGGTAATACTGGTTTATACAGAGGGTATACGATTTAGGGGAATAAATCGTAAACCTTACAGGGTCTTACTACATGATGTTATTGTTTCTGTAGCAGAATCATATGCAATGAACAAGTTGAAAGGAAGGCATATTTTCTGGCTAGAAAAATAGTATCTAATTAGCCACCAGGGTTACTTTAAGGGAGTAATATATGCATAGAGATGAGGGGCACTGATGGAAGAATTTACTCAGGTTCACAAAAAAATGAATTTCTTTGTATGCCAGTGAAGAAAGACAAAGGAATTGAAGGCTGATCTGTGGCAAAGCCACTGTACTGAATTCTACTCAACAACAGGATGGATTATCCTAGACCCTGGCCAAGTCTGCCATGGAAAATGATTAAGCCTGGTCACTTAAAGAGTCCAGACTAGCTAGAAAGGCCAGGAAACAATTCCACTTGGAACAGGTGGGTCTCTACTGCCTCTCCCATCTCTGGGGCTGTTATGTTATAGGAAGGTGATGGTAACTAGTGATTTTTAAATCAGTCAGCATTTACGCAACTGGTAGTCATTTAACTTTCTATTCTTATATAGAACTGAGGCCTGAAGTCACATCTAAAAGGGAAGGCTGATTCTGTAGCTCTTCAGTAAATTTTATGCTAATGAAGATAACTTGAAGATTCAGGAATAATTAGAAAATTAACTTTGTACTTTCAGATGCCGTAGTACAGAGGGGGAGAAAGGATAGTTCATTTAGCATTTCTGTTGAAATGTCTCATCTTCAAGGTTCAGAACAAGTCACCTCTTCCATGAAGTCTTCCTTGATTACCAGAGGCAGAATGGCTCATTTTCTGCCATAAACTCCTATGTACTTAGTACTACTCATTTGGCCTCAGTCACATTTCACCTTATTTGTCCTGATCTCTGTCCAAATGTTAATAGTTCCTCTCAAGGACCTCCCAACCTACTCAGAGACTTAAAGCCCTGTATAAAATTAAAAGTTATTCAGTTGATGTGCTTGGCTATCTCATTTTTCCTGGGAACTTCTGAATAAAAAATTCCTCCTTGAAATGTGGAATAGAAATGGTAGTTTTAACTTAATACCCAGTTGCTAAGGATAACAGGATTAAAATTGCATGGTTCATGCCTTAAATTTATATACTCCCTAAGTCCTTAACCTGAATTAACTTTCTGCACTGATCTAATGCCATTTGATGTCATACATATTCACAGAATTCAAGCTTTTCACACCCAGAGCTCTTCTTGTTTATCCATGTATTCAGAGTATACACAACAATGTTTAGCACATAGTAGCCTGTCAAGAATTTTCATTGAATAAAATAATGAGCTCCTTATTATTTATTTCCATATAATCATATTTGACAAAAATAAATTTCTCCTTATTTTGAAAGTATTAGCTTTATATAGAAATATATTATTCCACATACAATCCAAAAAATATGGCCATGGAAAGTTTATTTTCAAATGACACAAGAGAAATAAAAAAGTGTGTGTACTGGTAGTTAAAGCTGGCTCTAATATATAAAGGTCTCTGCTCTTAGCAATCAAAAGCCATATACTTTGAACCCAGGTGAGTAAATCCTTCTGCCTAAAACTTGAGCATCTTTGCTATAAGCATAACTTACTTTCCAAGTAAAATTTAGTGTTATATTAAATTTATTGGTTTTTTTGTTTCAGAAAATATTGTGAATTTAATGATAAAATAACCCCCCAGCATCTTATAATTGAAGTTTTACGAACTATTTACATTTTATAAATGTATTTATACTTATTGTCTTTTTGAAATAGAGCAGCTTCCTGCCTGGTATTTCAACTTTTTTAAGTACTATTCAGATTCCTTCATTCCTGCTAAATCATTTGTAAAAGCTTAACAAATTATTCCAGGTAGAAATGATCTGTGTGTTTTCAAAATCTCCACATTTTTATCATACTATATCATGAATTGCACTAGCAAATGCATGTCATTAGTATAAAAACATTGGCACTTTTAACACGAGTGGAATGATTAATAGAAACTATTACCACAACAGGAAGGAGAGGTCTATCTGGAGTGGGGAACAGCCAGGTTAGCTTCAATGCCCCCCTATCAGAGGGGCCATGCAAACTCCCTGTACTTCTATAGTCTCCTTAAAATAGGAAAGGTGACTTTCCAACCATGGGTTTATAAATTTGAAGACCAGAAGTTTTTAGAATTCCTTACTATAAGAAACACAGACTCAACCTTTGGCTTTGGCAATACCAGCTTTAAAGTTTAGAGCTTGTCTGTCTGAGCTGCTGATGATTAGTCTATTCACGAAAGGAAGAGAAAATGTAAATTTAATGTCTGTAAAAGAAAGTTTACTGCAAAGTGAAAGTAACTGCCAATTTTTGATAGATATCTCACAAAGCTGTTTCTTACCAATTTACCAGTTATTAGAGGGGTTGCTTTACGTATGCTGTGAAGTTAAATGTGTTCGTGTTACTGGTTACCAAGCTTCCTCTATATCTTGAATTAAATGCTTGCTGGCATGACCTCTAGTCAAAACTTAACCAAGGCAGTAATTCTCATAAGGCCCCGGGGCTCTGTCCAACCCTGGGATAAGCAATATACCAGCTGATTCATTCTCTCAGGAATGACAAACCTCATCATCTCTACCCTCGAGAAAACATTGGCAGTACATAAGCTGCTCTGGTAACTGTGAACCTCCTCGTGTTACTGAGGTCTTACAGAAAGGAGATCATCACATCACTGACTAACAATATACTTTCAGAAGTTTCAGTTACCTTTTCACCTCAGGCAGATCATCAGTAAAGTGACCTTAAATAGACACCCTTGGCCACTGCCACTGTCTTTATAATTATCCTCTATCTAGCTGTCTCGGTGGCTCTCAGACTTTGGAGGGCATCAGATTTATCTGTGGACTGTGGTCTTGCTAGCTTGAATTGCACACTCTGGGTACCCTGGTATCCACCAGAGTCCTCCAGGGCAAGCCTCCATCCTTTTACTCTTAGAGGTTCCACAAGAAAGAATAAAGGAGTTACTGGCTCTCATTTTCCTAAAAGAAATTTTTGGAATACTTGGAAACAGTGACCTTATTTTCAATTGTTTAAATTTGTTCTCTAATCAACTCTTAATTCTCATGCTAAGTAGAACACACAATATTATATACGATAGGATGTAAAGAAAACTTGATACAAGTCTGAATTTCTGATGATACTGATTTAAAGAAAAAATGCCTACCTTTCTTAAAGGCAAATATTTCATTAAAATAAAATTTTCATATATTTTTAGAATGCTATAAAATTAGGAGACATATTTAGATATGCATAAGCATAAAAATAATCAGACCAGGCTAACAAAAAGTGCTAGCATAACTGTACATTGTACCAGACGACCTTCCTGCTTTTCTCAGAAAGGACATAGTCAACCCTAACCACTGACACAAGGCACACTCTTACTACTGCATCTAGTGAATATTAATATTTGTGTTAATATTCAGTAATGCCTTAAAGATTCCTGAAATCATCCCCTTGTAGGTGATTCCTGAAATCACCCCCTTATTTCTCATGAAATAGCTGGAATATAAAATATTATCCTGTTTAATCCTGTATAAATAAGTTCATAAGTTAAACTTGTAAAATGTAGTTGACTGGCCACATAGCTCAGGAAATACAAGACTTTCCTAATCCTTCTATACTCAAGTGAGTCACTAAAGTACACTTTGTTACAGGGTCATCCAGAGGTTATTAAGAGACAGAAAAATAGATCTAAATAATGTTAAAGATTTGAATTAAATTTCTAAAAACAAGGCTACATTTAAATTCTCTCTTTAAATCTAACTGCAGCAATATATAGGAAATGAATGGCGAATGCACAGGTACTATGAAGGCTAGATTGCTACAAAGCATAACAAGGCTAGGACCCACAAACTCCTGCCAAAAAACAAAAGGCAGATTCTTATAAAATATAAAAAAAAAATTTAAGGCAATTTTTTCATATAAAAGTGGATTTATAACATTAATCCACCTTGATGGAAGGAAATTTCATTATAATAGTCCATTAAAATCATTTAGCAATAATTTCAAGTACCAAAAGAATAAAATTTCTGTAAAAGTGAAACCTCTTTGCAATGGCTTAGCTCAAACACTACCTGTGCAGCCTTGTGTCAGATGGTCTACTATCCTTTTTATTTCCAAACCCAGTGATGACTTATTTAATGAAATACTACCAGTGGGAAGAAATTTAACAGTATAAAAATATTAAATAAAAATGAAGTTCCTGTTGTTTTCATCAGGAAAATTAAAAAGGAAAGAACACTGGATGGATGAGGTGGTAGAGGGGCCAGGAGTAATTACTGTGTGGGAGATAATTAAATGACAACCTACATAAAATGAGGATGGCTTAGCATTAATTCTGATGTTTTCTTTTTTATTTAAAACTATAGGGGAAATCTAACTAGATACTTCTGCAGACTTACACCTTTGCCCTTATCTGCTAATATGTATCTGGAAATACATTGTTGTAGTACTTCTCCAGAAGTACCAGAATGCATGTTTTTCAAACATCATATATCTCATGGAATTTAACATTGATTTTCAGAACTAAATTACATTAACATATGTTAACATTAAAATGCATATTTTCACATCTTAGAAGGACATTATGGCTCTGGAAAGAAGCTCAATTTTATCAAGGCGAAGCATGTGTTCTATCTACTATTTTAAGACCGTCAAGTCCACTTGTTATTGTATAGGCCATGATGAGGGTTAAGACTTATTCAATATGCAAATGGGAGTAGAGCATCAACCGAAAGCTTACTTGAAATTAAACTGTCAATCCAACATGCAAAGTAAAATTATCAACCACTTATTTTATCTGTTGTGGCAAAATTGCCTTATGGACAGTTAGTTATGCAGCAAAAATGCTCAGAGCAAAGAACTTTCTGATAATATAGCAGACACAAAAAACAAACAAAGAAAAAGTTTCCTCTGTAAAAATAAACCACACTTACTTGTATTGATCAGAAACTGATTTGACACACCAGGATGATCTACATCATGTATTGCACTAGCAAAAATTGCTGCAAGAATCTCCAAATCTGTAAACACAGCCTGGAAAATCATAAATATATATAACATTAGTAATCCATAGTAATATGAATTAAAGGTATAAACAAATAGGAAATTACTTTCTAGAATTTGATGGAAAATCAATGACGCTTCAAACTACATTACTCTATCATAACATGTCAGAAGGGGAATATTGTGGATAATGAGTTACTCATGAACTTTTTAAAATATAATTTTGAAAGAAAATATTTTATCTGATTCTTTCTTAACTCATGGTTAAACCTTTTCCATTGGCTATATTTTTAAAAATATATAGAAAAGGATTACTGCAGATTCCTTTCTAAACAAAATAATCACTTATTTAAAAAATATTTTAGATGCTTAAGAATGTTGTGAAAATGTACATAAAATTTTTTTATTTTAAATGTATTTTGCATTAGTCTTCCATTTTGTACAATGCATGCTTTCTCTTTTCAGGTGTACTCCACACAAAATTCCCATAAAATTAATGACATAAGCTATTCTTTTCTGTCGCTTTAATTCAAACCAGGGCTTTTCAACCTCAACAAAACTCTTTTGGGACAGATAATACTTGTTATGAGAGGCTGTTGTGCATTGTATGATTTTTAACAGAACCCCTGGCCTTTATTCATCAAGATGCTAGGAGCATGTAACCCCCAGCTGTGATAGCCAAAAATGTCTCCACATTGTGCCAATTAGTGTAGGGGTGGAGGGAGAAATCAGTTCAGAACCACTCATTCAAATGATGAGGTATTAAGAAAATTTCATAACGAAAACAATCTGAACTACAAAATAAATTAGCAAGAGAGAATCTTTCCTTCAAACAATTAAGGAAATCAAGTTTCCTTAATAAACATTTAATAGAACAATTTCTTAGGGTTTGGTCAAATGAAAGATGTATTTCTTTCTAATAAAGTCTATAAAAATTTATATGTGTTACTCCCAGACTTCAAACTATACTACAAAGCCATAATCATCAAAACTGCATGGTATTGGAACAAGAACAGACATACAGACCAATGGAATCGAATAGAAAATCCAGAAATAAACCCACAGATTTATGGTCAACTAATCTTTGACAAAGGAGCAAAGACTATGCATTGGAGCAAAGAAAGTTTGTTCAATAAATGGTGCTGGGAAAACTGGGTCGCTACATGCAAAAGAATGAAGCTTGACCACTACCTCACACCATACACAAAAATCAACTCAAAATGGATTAAAGAACTAGACATAAGACCTGAAACCATAAAATACATAGAAGGAAATATAGGCGAAACACTACGGGATTTGCACATCAAAGACATCTTTACAGACACATCACCCAAAGCAGTGATAGTGAAGAGAAAGATAAACAGCTGGGACTACATCAAATTAAAGAGCTTCTGCACAGCAAAAGAGACAATAACAAAAACAAAGAGAAACCCCACCAACTGGGAGAACATTTTTGCACCCAACACTAATGATAAAGGACTGATCACAAAAATCTGCAAAGAGCTGATGAGACTCAGCAACAACAAAGAAAATAATCCAGTCAAAAAATGGGCAGAAGAGCTAAAAAGAAACTTCTCTGAAGAGGAAATGAAAATGGCCAACAGACATATGAAAAAATGTTCAACATCACTTGTAATCAGGGAAATGCAAATCAAAACTACCATGAGATACCATCTCACACCAGTGAGAATGGCACATATTAAAAAAACTAGCAACAACAAATGTTGGCGAGGATGTGGAGAAAAAGGAACTCTTGTGCACTGTTGGTGGGAGTGCAAACTGGTCCAACCACTATGGAGAGCTGTGTGGAGATTTCTGGACCTACTAAACATAGAGCTTCCATATGATCCAGCAATTCCACTCCTAGGTATTTACCCAAAGGACACAGAAACATCCATTCCAAAGAGCACCTGCACTCCTATGTTTATAGCAGCACTGTTTACAATAGCTAAGCTTTGGAAACAACCCAAATGCCCAAAAATAGATGACTGGATCAAGAAGATGTGGTACATATATACCATGGAATATTACTCAGCATTCAAAAAAGATAAACACATGCAATTTGCAGCAACATGGATGGCACTGGAAGGGATCATGCTCAGCGAAATAAGCCAAAAAGAAAAAGAAAAATACCGGATGGTCTCACTCATAGCAGGAATCTAGAAAACTCAAATAAGGGACCAGGAAAATGAATATAAGAAAGTGAAAATCAAAATCAACAAAAAAACTATGAACCAGAGACACTTTTTGGGGGGTGGGGGCGGGAGGGGAAGGATTGGGGTCAGAATGGGGCGTTTGCAATTGTATGGGGGAATATAAAAATAAAATTTAATATTTAAAAAAAAAAAAAATAAAATAAAATACCAATATCTTCTATAAAATAAAGATCAAAGTTCATAAACAAAAAAAAAAAAAAAAAAAAAAAAAAAAAAAAATTTATATGTGTTGACTATATTTTGAAAACCATCTTCCTTTTAACTAGAAAATGCAAAATTAAAAAAAAACCCACAACACTAGGAAAACTGAAAAAGCTAGATGTGCTTTATGGAATGCACACCAGATAATTTTAAAGAAGCATTACCAGAAACAGATGAAATCCTAACTCTCTGATTAACTTTCACAGGCAAAATTCATCAAAGATTGAACTGTTACATAATTACATTTTTTTCCCCCTATAAATGTAACATACTTCCAAAGAAGCCGATTACTTTCTGGGGTGCACACACCTCAGGATAAATGTTTATGAGACCTTTATCAGTGGCAAGTTATTGTTCTCAAGTTTTAGAAACCAGATTTACCTCCAAAGCAGGTGTAGATAACAGCACATGTGTAGACTGGACAACATCTGCAGCATGGATGTTGTTGTGGTAGGCCACGTCAGCATGGTAATGGTCTTCCAGAGTCATAAGGTACGTAATTAAAGTGTCCACTGGAATTTTAAATGTTTTTAATAAATCCCGTTCCTGTAGGAAAGGAAATCCTGCTCACATTTTGTTCTTATATAAAAGATGTCCCATAGTATGTGCTAAAAATATCAAATCTAGAGATGCCTAAGGATAACCAAGAAATGGGACTCTTACAACGCCTAGTGAAGAAAACCTTTGGGAAGATCCAGGGACTTCAGGGACAAAATCAGAGTGTAATAGTTCTGTAGACCAACAGTGCTCTCCCCAAGATGTATGTATGTAAGGTGTCAGGGATGAGCCGCCACTTCTAAAAATATGTGACCCATGATTATCAAGACAGCTCCAGGACCCAAGACACTGGATTATCACACCAATTGAAATGCAACAGTTTTTCTAGGGCTGGAGAGCCAGGGTAGCTATAGCCTCAACATCTCATTTAAATTCTAACCCTGAACTGGAGAGAAAGGATAACAAGAGTGGCAAACTGATATGGAGGAAAGAGCAATACAGAAACTAGTGATTAAAGGAATTATAATCTAAAATTAATCAACAGAGGGCTAATTTGATTTTTAAAGTTATACTTCCTTCTTATGGGAATCAGGGTCATGAAGATGACTTTTAAACTATGATTTTAATAAATTCCTTCAATTTTCCTAGAGCACCTCTTTTTCTGAAGTGGAAAAGGCTAACACAATTGGTTTATTTGTGTTTTACCCACATTCCAAACTTTTGTATCCTTATTTGTCCATTGGTAAAGGGCAAATAAGAAAAAAATAAAATGAGTGTAAGAGGATGAGTAATAAAGAAGATAGCCCATGTACAATATATAGACTGGGTATTATGCCACCAAACAAAAGAAAGGTGATAGAATCTAGCCCTGTTACCTGAAAAATGGTGTGCATGATAACAGTCAAAGGCCGGTTACCAGACAGCTCTGCTATTCTGAAAACATGAAGACCCCATTTGTTTACATCTTCTAGTTCCTGAGATTAAAGAAAGAAAGAAAAATAAAGCGGAAATAGAACAATGAGCCTGTCTTTTTAAAATTACTCACTTTAGGAAAAGATTGCTTGATTTTAAAAGGACTCATTTTAAAAGTAATGGCAGTGCCATGTAACTAACAAGCAAGATTTGGGCAAATTCACTGGCATGTACTGAAAACGGAATAGCATTGCTCTATCTTAGGCCTTTGACAATACAACATTTACATTCTTTCAATAACAACATCAGAGTATTTCTCCAATAGTTAAAATCTATTCCCAAAACCCTGAACGATTCTAATTCCCCAAAACCAGATTTCTAACTCTTTAAGGTTAACAAAATGTAGATGTAAAAATCAAAGAACACATATACCAAGCCAAACCACCTGTCTAGATCCACATCATCAAAAAAACCCTTAGTACTCTAGAATAAATTCATAAAATGCTTTCCCATCTTCAAAAAAAAAAAATCCACAAAACCTCAGTTAAACTTACTCATTTATTTAAAAGAGAAAGGATTATTAGGAGGTATCACTGCATATTTATGATCACAATCCTTGAAATCATCTTACCTTAGCAAGGACGTCTTCTTGCTCAGTTTTAACCCCAAACCTTGGGATGCTTGAATTAGTCAAACTGGAGCTGTGCATCAGCTTCTTGACCCCACTGATCTGAGACATCGGCCTTTTCTTTTTCTCCTTTTCCTTCTGAGTTGGAGAAGGAATTTCCACTTCATGTTGCTTATCTTAAGAAATTTAGAAAATATTCTACATTTACTATTAAATGTCTGCGTTTAATTTTTTCTATTATAAGATGTATAACTAGATATGTTTTATTTGATCATTACATATTCCCAGAAAACATTTCCTACTGAAAATCCTTTTAGAGAAATTGAGGATTTATAATTTATTGTGAACTTACTACGATACCTTCAAAAACACACCAAAAAAGCAAATAAATCCACTTCAATATAATTAAACTCAAATATACTCAGGGTTACTTATTTGATAGAACTGTCCTAGAAAGTTTTTTTGGTAAGATTTATCATGATAGTACACTTGGAAAAAAGCACAAACACTGGTAATTTCCACTGTTTATCAGCTCCATTGCTATCTGAAATTCACTTAGTGGCTTGAAAACTGTTCCTATTAACTAAGAACTCCAATTTCAATACCTATTTTGAAATGGTAGTAACTTCATATAATAGAAGTAACAGAGAAAATATCATAGAAATAACAGAGTGTGAATCCAATGCTTATTGAAATGGGTTATACAGTGGGAATACAAATAGCATATTTGAATGACTTAGACTGTTCTGTTATTTAATATTTCCTATAATATAGAGAGGTACGGGTTCCCTTAGATAACACTAAAGTAACAAGGGGAGCACAGAAAATCTCCAATAGTATCTGATAAGTATCATATATACAGAAGCTAACTATTGTTTTCAAATAAAAGGTATAAGATGTCTTAGTATATTTATTCACCATCTCAAGGCAGTGAGTCCTTCTAACTCATCATTACACATAGTATGTGTTTAATAAATGTACTTATTTGATATTAGAGCAGCTTTGTTTTGAAAGTAAATTCAAACTAAGGATTATGTTCAAGTTACTGAATTTCAATACTGAAATTTCTTTCTATGGATGGTCCCATATTCTCAGCTATTATTATCAGCAAGTTTTTCTGTAGCAATTGTATTAAACCTGCCTTACCAGTTTAACAGGCTTGGTGCTCATTAGGAACTATCAACACATTGAGGGCAGGGAGCATTTCTAATTTATCATTAAATAACTAGTGGCTGGCAATTTTCCAGGAATTTTTTGAATGCATGCATAAATCTCTTTACAAAACGTATTTTATAATTTGATACTTTGGAAAAAATGACAACATACAACTTTTATTAAGAGAATTCTTGAAGTCCTGAATTAAGCTAAAAGATAAAAAAATGTACCTTTGTCACCTTAGATTCTAAAGATTAAAGGCTTACCTTATTAATACAAATGAAAACAAAATTCCTAACATAATGGTTTAGTTTCCAAGATGAGTTAGTGTCCTAATCCACCTCCCCAAAACAAACAACTCAAAAGAAAATTTAAAAATTGAATTTAAATTGGTATTCTCACCTAAGAATGTGTTTGATATGTACTCTGACACTTGATTTCCAGACCGACTCATTTCAGAGAGATGGGTGAGCTCCCGATTAAGCATCCTTTTAAACTGAAAAATAAAATATATAAAAGGAAAATTTAAGTGAGATAATATACAGAAAATATGCCCAAGGAAATTTTAGATTGCACTGATAATTTAGATTCGTGTCATCCAACCGAATTTTCCTTGATGATGGAAAAATTCTATAATCTGTGCTGCCCATTACAGTAGTCTCTAGCCACAAGTGGCTACTATACTGGACAACACAGATTTAGAAACTTAAGGACATTAATTAAAAGAAGGGAATAAAAAAATTAAGGTTCATTGTTAGTATTTAGAGAAGAAAAAAACTTATTAGCACATGAAAGTGCTACCACACACAAAAAAACAGCCTATTTTATCAATTAATTTGTCATTAGCTGAAATGAATAAGTGTGCGGGTCAGAGATTAACTAAAATATGGTCTTTCTGAGTGGATCAAGAAGATGTGGTATATATACACAATGGAACACTCTTAAGTAATCAAAAAAGATAAACTCATACCATTTGGGGCAACATGGATGGACCTGGATGGGAATGTTTTAAGCAAAGTCAGAGGGAGAAAGACTAACACCGGATGATTTCACTAATATGTGGCATATAAAGAAATCAGACAAAGGGTCGGATAAAGCCAAACTCAAAATCTAGCCTGTGAAAGCTGACTATAGAACTGAGACATTTAGATGAAGCCAGGAGGGAGGGGCAAACACTAAGTGGGAGGACGCACAATAGCTTTTAGCACTATGGCAACAGCACCAGCAGTAGGTGGGAGGGGAGGCTGGGGGTGTCCTATAAACAATATAAACCAGCACTACGTCAACAAAAATGTGGTCTTTTACCCCAGTGATTTTTGTACTCTTCCAGAATTATAGGGAAATAAAATATGTGAATGGATTTTAAAATTTTCCCAGTAAAGACTGTAAGATTAATTGGTGCTCAGTACCCACAGATTTACCAATGTATCTTTCCCCTAACTTATGAAAATATAACAAGATCCATTTTAATGCTTTACTTCATGAACTTATGATCTATGTTACTGGCCACAGTACCTATTTTATCCAAAGAAACACTGATTCACTGAAAACCTACCACTACCACATGATATTACCAAAATCCAGAGTTCTCAAAGAAGTTATATTTTTCATTCATTAACTGCTTCTTAATATGTTTTCCTTGAAATCTCAAACTAGCCTTCTAATATACCTTAATATTTCTTGTAACATAGGGAAGTAATACGTCTCCACATAGAATAACTGATATTAGACATTTGATTTACTGTAATATTTAGTTGCTTTAAAAATTTTTAATTTCATAAAATATTCTCATTTCAGTCTGGGAGAGAGTAGTGTGTTTATCATTTAGAAATGTTTGAAAAATTGGGCCTCCCCGGTGGCGCAGTGGTTGAGCGCTGGGTTGCGAAGCTGCCCGCAGCCTCTGAAGCGCCGGTTCGATCCCCAGCTGCTCCCCGGCCACCACCGGAGGAGGGTCCCACATGGCGCGCAGACCTCTCCTGTCACCCGCTGCTCCCCTCAGCAGTGTATTTCGGTCCCTCTGCCTGCTCTGCTCCCTGCTCTGGTAAATTCTCTCACCCTCCCGAGCTTCTGACTGTACCCAGTGCTTGTATAAATACATAAAAATAAATCTTTAAAAAAAAAAAAAGAAAAAAAAAGAAATGTTTGAAAAATTAATTCTAATGCAGCATATAATTAGTTTATTAAAATTAAAAAAATTCTTGTTTTTCTGCATAATTCAACTTAGGTTATTCTAACTAAATATAAATTAACTTTATTATCATTTCCCAAGTTAACTTTATTAACTATCCAGATTAGGTATAAGACTTCATCACCACGAAATACTAAGAACAGTAAAAATATTTCAATACTATGTTGGATACAAAACTTGTATCTAATGGTGTATTGAAATATATTGAAGTAAGCAGTTTCCTGTAGCCAAAACTGAAATACTGGTTAAAATAAAAACAGAGTCTTTAGTTATTAGCTTACAGATCAAGATAGTTTATTCCCCCAACACACTTTCTTTGTGCTTTATTAATAGTGTTTCTTTGTGTTTTATTAATAATGTTTTATTAATAATGTCTCTGATTAAAAATACATTTATAATATGGAAAATGTAGAAATATAGAAAAAAAGTTAGAAATCAAAATTATTCCCACTACTCAGGGAGAACCATAATTAATCAGCTATATTTCCTTCTATGACATTTTTTACATTTGTATATATTTTTTAAATTGGCATGCTACAAGATAAAAAATATGGGATATGACTTGTTTTTCACTCGGCATTATATATTATTATGGTTCACTAGGAAAAATAAAATTTGAAACCTAAGAATATTCACAAATACATATACATCAGAGTTCAAAAGACTTTATGTTCATCTTTTATTAAGTTTTATTTTCTGGAGTTAAAGAACATCAGCTAGTTAAATGAGTGAGCAGAAAGTATTCTACATTTAGCCTAGCACACAGTGGGTGTTCAACATTATTTGAGTTTTCTATCTCCCAGTTCCTGGGGTTTTAATAGTGATAGGTGATATTTATCATTGTAGAAAAAACAGGTGCACTATATGACAATAGTTAATGTGCATAAAAATACATATCTAAATATTTAGCTCCCCTACTCCCCTATTATAAATGGTCACCATTTTAAGAAACTATAATGATAATATCTTGCATATGCTCTAAAGGTAAATCAGTCCTTTCTTAACTGAAATGTACTCTTTAAAAAAATTACTTTTTAGGCAAAACATTAAAAAATGAGAGTTGGCTAGGCATTTTGAACATATATTTCATGGTATATCTCTTTGACCTGAAATTGTTTAGGCTATGAACTAAGTGTTACTGTTCAGAACTGCTTGAGAAAGTCTTTTTTATCAGATGGGGTAGCAGGCAACGCTTTAGCCACTCCTACCTTCTTGATAGCCTAGAAAGAAGCCTTGAATTTGGAGGGCAGGGGTACAATTATTAAAGTTGAAAGAGGGATCCAGTTTTTCCTCACAGCTACCTTCTAATTTATAAGCATTCTGGAATGAAGAATATGTTACCATACACTCATGTAGAAAAACTGCACGATACCTGTGGGCTAAGCAACACAAACTGCTGGATTTCTCTGGAAGGATATGAAAAATGAAGTGTAATTTTTCTTGTAGCTTGTTTATATAATTCAGCAAAACAGCTATAGTTAAGGGCAAAAATGCCAGTGCAATGACTTTTTTTTAAAAAAGGTTGACAAATGAATTCTATTGATAATGCTTGCACCATGTACAAATATTGCCAGACTCTTCTTCTGCCTTTGTTCAAAACCCCAAGTATGGGGTGGAGAAACCCTGATAGCACACCTATCTGTCTACATGGCTCGTGATGTAATCCAAGGAACTCAACATTTTCTTTTAACAGAATTAGAAGAGACAATATTTTAAGCAATCTTCTCTCTTCTCAAGGGAAAAGGTAAGGAAGATTTCTGAAAGACAATTTTCATAGTCAATTAAATCATAACATGAGGGTATTTTTAAAAAAATAATTAAAATTTCCTTTTTTCTTTATATTATTGATATAAAACTTTCAGTCCAGGGAAGCTAACCCTGGACTTAAGTGCTTTCATAACGGGTACCTGATCTAAAAATTTGGCTTTGGAGTGCATAGATGGATAAATTAAAGAACAGTAAATTAAGCCATTCAACTATCATTTTTAAATGGATGTGGAAATTTCTCCTTTTAAGATAACTACATATCATTAATTAGGATAATGATATAAAATTACCATGAAGGAAAAATGATTAGAAAAGGTAACAAAATGTATCTTTCCTAGAACACTGTTACAGTTCTTAATGTACAGAGCTAGAAGAAATAATACATAGAACTGGCTTTCAAAAGAATTGGTTGCAAAATATAGAACAATTTAATTGAGCATTTAGATATTTTCAAAAGTGACCTCTACATAGTTTCCATTGAAGGGTTATTCTGATTGGTTTTTTGGCCTAAATCATCTGAAATAATGCATAGAATCATTGCTGCAACAAAGAAAAAAAGAGCAAGAATTCTAAGAGAATGTTTTCAAATCCTTTGTTCTCATTATGCATCAGAATGTCTATGTACTGCATTTAAAGCATGAAGGAAAGTGAAAATGCAGCTGATATGAATACTGTATTGGCTTTTTTTAAACTCCAGTTTTCCAATTTCTGTTTTACATTTAAGACTGTTTAGGAAACAAAATTAAATAACAAAATCAAAATATTCTATAATTTAATCTCTGTACTTGTGCATTCATGTCAATACACTACTAGGTACATTATATAGTTTCCTAATATATAATTAGGAAGGTGGTAAGGTCAAGCTTAAATGCTTATTCCTCTCCCCCCCCAATATTCTGCTAAAAATCATTTGAATATGCTGCACTCTGATATACTATGTTTGGTAGATATCAGCATTAAAAGATAAAATAATTACTGCCTTAGCTATATAAGAATAATTTCTTTAAAATGTATGATAAATCTAAATGTATTTATATTTGCTCTTCTTAAAGATCTTTTGCAGTATTAAAAACAAAGCTGTCCAGCAAAAATTTTCTTTTAAAAGTGCATTTAGATTCTAATACTTTCATAATTACAATGCAAATACGAAACTCTTCAAATGAGTTATCTAAAACCTAAGAGATGAATTCTAGGGAAGCTATGGATTTTACAGGTAGAAAATAAAGTTTTCATTTTAATAATGTATCATTTAAAAAGTCAAGTAATGCCATTTATAATGCTATCTAGAGCTTTACATCCCAAGGTAAAAAACACATACTCCCCGTCAGGTTACAGTAGTACAGATTTTTAGAAAGAGCCACAAATCAATTTTTATAAACTTTAAGTAATACGACACCAACTAGAAGCCATACACCAGCATAAGTACTTTGGTGCAATAATTTATTTCCAGTGAATTTATTTAATTTCCTTGACATTTAAAAGTACAGCTCAAATCTATTTCATATGACAAAAGAACCACAGCATACAGATATCTATTTTGA